AATTATTAAAAATATCTTTTTATAAAATTAAAACCCTTTATCAATAGAAAAAAATTTACCTTTTCAAAATTTTCTTTCTCTTGGAGATCTGCAGTTTGAACGTTACGAATACGGGGTATCTACAATCATATTTTACAAATTTATATAAGCTTGTAAAATTTTTCATAAGTAAACATAATTTATTAATACATTACTGACTGCTTGTGTATTAATCTAATTTAGTAGTGTTTATTTAAAGTGTCATATCCGCCTTAAGGCGACACAAGCTTGATGTTTACATGTTTGAGAAATTCCAATTTGAAAATATATACATATTCTAAACATTCAGATCAATATTTCAAAAATTAATAGAGCATTATAGGTTGGAATGATATAAATCCCAATGATGTAATATTATCATTTATCACAAAACGTGTAAGTAAATCCTGGTTCTAAACACATTTTTTTTTGCAACAAAATTCTTTAAGTCGATGAATATATCCGCAAAATGAATTGACAGATTCACGTGCATCACGTGAAATTTACAATATTTTCACAAGTTTAGGTTTTTATATGTATCGGGTGGTTCAGTAACTGTGTCCATCTAATTTGAAACAATAGAAAAAATATGAAGCTATAAAGGTTCATTGTTTCGAGGAGTACATAATACAATTATAATATTAGGTCATTCTATAAGTAATGTCGCTTCGTATTTTGGTTCGATGTTCGTATACATGAAAAACAAAAATTTTTGTTTTGATTTATCTTCCCTCGGTTTAATTTACAATCTGCAGAAGTACACTTGTTTTACTGTTTACGTTTTACTTTTGTGTACTTTTCCACTGGTTTATGCCATGTTGCTAAATGATTAGATTTTAAAAACAAAAATAGAAGAAATTAAACAACTGAACTAGGAACTAATACCACATGTACCATATGATTCAAAGGTATTATCAGTTCAAAAAGCAATTTAAGCGGGTATGTTCGGATAGAAATTTTGAAAAATTTAATTTTCCGATTTTTACATTTTCTTTAAGCTCTTGGAAATATTTCCAAATATTTCCAAGAAAGTTTCAAGTTGATTCGATTAAAATCTACGAAGCTATGTGAGTTCAAAAATTAACATTTTGTTAACGTGTGTATTCAATATGAAACTATAAATGCGTTTTTCTCAGAACCATATTTTCCAAATCGATGACCAAAATATTTCAAAAATCACTGTATCGATTTACTTCAAAGGGTCTAGCCGATAAATATTGTGAATATTAAATTTAAAGTTAAATATTTCAAAAACTTTGGATTCAGGATATGTATACAGTAAAGTTTCTTACATTGTTCACTCGCTGTTCCTACGCCCAGGCATACATATGTACATTTTCCTACGCCTATGTTATCTTTCTCGGAGTTAGTCAAGCATGCGATGTGTGTATGCGATGCGCGATCGGTTATAATATAACCTTTTTAATTTTACTTTTTTCTAACTGAAAATTTATTTAACATATTGGTGAGACTTTATGATTAAAATGAGATCTAAACATATGGACACTATGAGAAGATTTACTGTACTCTAATATTT